GCCGCCAAACAAAAACCGGAGGTAAAAAAGAAACGGTAACCTGGTTGCCGAGTTCACGAAGTGAATTGGCTTGTTTTACAACGTCGTTGCCAAGCGACGAAAACCCAATCCCGATGGCAAACACCGGGGGGGAGGTTGAAGGGGCGGGAGGGGCGTGATTCATCACGGAGGAGAGTTATCCAAGACAGTGTGGGAAGTACTGCGATACTAGAAATGAAGAAAATGGACGATAACAAGTGACCCGTTCGCACAAAAGTTTACGCACTTGTTTATCCGTCGATTCCGTGCAGGAGGGTTGGAAGTGACTGTGTAGTACACCTGAGTCTCTAGAACATGCAACATATTTTGGACGAGCCCGGGAACCCAAGACATTAGAGTGGAGCTCAGGGGGCTGTGGGGAGGCTCTTCGTCAGGGCCTGTAGGAGTGTCTCCCAGGATTGGGAGACGTGTAACTGGATGGGAGAAGGAAGAGACCGGGGAGAGCCATGCTCCTGGTATCCCAGGAAGAGGCACACTTGGAAGGATATGCTTCACCGACACACCGGCACTCGGGCAGACGGAGCGATGAACTTTGCTGCTATTGACAGTTCAAGACCGGATCTCCCGGCAGCACGCTATTTGTGATGTCGACAGCTGTACATTCCTCAACAGTACCTGAACTGTAAGACCCGTTGGCGCACGTTGATTATTCCAGCAATAATATGACAGAGCGCATCTACTTCTTCTCTCCCTCGAGCTGCCCCCTGTTCTAAGTCCACAGCACAACGAACCCGGCCCGCTCTATTTCTACGCGTTTCTCACCAACGTTGGTTGGTTATTCCCGTCGAGAATAAACCGAAGTACATTTGAATCCACCTCCAAACAACGATACAACCACAAACACAAAACGAAAAAAACACAAGCCACACGAAGTACAGGACAAACAGTAACTGACGCTCAAAAAAAAAACGAAAAAAACAGGACGGACTGCGACACCGCCTCACCGATCCAACGGTGTGCGACGACACCTCCACTGCTCCCGGGATCTACACCGCCGAGAACATGTGGTCCCCGCGGCGAAACCACCGGGCGGTCACCCTGGACGAGCGCGTGCTGGTCCTCGGCGGCCGAGCGCGCGAGATCGCCGACATCCCCCGAGACCGCACTGTTGGGGGCATCCTCGCCCCGCGGATCGAGCCGGACCCGTTCTACAGCACCTGGCGCGAGCCCTCGGTGCTCAAGAACGACGTCTGGGCTTCGGACGACGAGGGGAGTACGTGGTTCCTGGTGAACCCGGGGTGCCAGGCCCCGCAGGCGGAGGACGTCCTGGCCGGGAACGAGGCCCAGGGCAAGGCCGGCGTGCTCGCCAACAAGTGCTCCGCGGACGACGACTGCTACGGTGTTGGGGTGTGCGTGGACACCCGCGGGGACGGCAGGCACTTCACGTGCGTGTGCCCGATGTGGTCGCCCCGGGAGCTCCACGCCGCGGCCGTCCACGACGGGAGCGTCTACGTAGTCGGCGGCTTCGTCAGCGTTCGGAGGTCCAGCTGCGGAGACTACGCCTGCGGCGACGTCGACGCCGGGGCGTACCGGGGCTACAAGTCGGACATCTGGCGCAGCTCCGACGGGGTAGCCTGGGACGCGGTGACCCTCGAGGCCGGCTGGCAGGGGCGGGGCGACCACGGGCTGTTCGTCTACTCGGACAGGATGTACATCGTGGGAGGGGCCGCAGACGGGGGGGACGGCCGGGTGAGCTTCATGAACGACGTTTGGTACGCCGATCTCCCGGAGAGGTGAGCAGGACGGGGGGGGGGGGGGGNGGTGAGCTGCATCCTGCTAAGGGTGTTCGGCATCTTGTGCTTACTTCCTTGCGTACGGATGAGAGCTGCGTATGACTAAATATATTTCTGGTGCTTTCACTTCCAGGGACAGTTGTAACCACTGTGCAACTGCCTCGAGGAGGGTGCTTGACCACTTTAACACAACGTGGTGCGATCATCCCCCTTGCGCGGAGGGGGCTTATCTTTCAACGCGAGTCTCTCTTTCAACGGTTAGCGAGGAAGAAGGTGGTCTAGCGTGCGGATAGCTCACAGAACGGTTTGCACTCTCTACCTGATTCATCCCATCCGTAGCCCCTAAACGAACTCGACTCAAGGTGTGAAGCAGATTGTGAGGTGTCCGCATCCCGATCTCAGGCAATACCTACACTAGAACGCGTGTTATCAAGAGCAACCACCGATCACCGCACAACGATTAAGCTCCCGATGACTATAACAACGGCTTCGGCGGCGGAATACTGGCAGCGGGAGTGGTGGCACGGACATGTCGTCCTGGAACACGAGCGCCGCCTCTTCAGCGGCCTGGTCGGGACGCGCCGGGCACCAGGTCGTGTTGGAGGTACCGGCGGCCATCAACGCCTTCTCACCGCGGGTGTACGTTATCGGGGGCCACAACCACGCAGGAATCCTCAAGGATACCTGGTACGTTCCATCACCTTGCAATGGCACGTGGATTCCTGGGGTTGGTAGGAAGGAGCGGGGGGGGGGGGGGG